TTAAATTAATGTTAAAATAGTTAAAGTAAAAAAAACAAAAACATATTTTTTTCTTAAACAAACAACCAATCAAAATATAACAGTTCACCATTTTTAAAAATATGTTAATATTTTCTTAAATATATCTTTAATATAAGCAAAATTAGTATTACATATACAATATACATATTTAAAAGTGAACAACTTATTTAACAAATGACAACTTCTATAGTAAAACGAAAAATAAAAAGAAACATAGTAATACTAACAAAAAAGAATCATTTCTTCTTAGGTATAATAGATCTAAAGTAAATTTCAAACGAAAGTAAAATGGTAAATTAATGTTAAATTAGTTAAAGTAACAAAAACAAAAACATGAAATTTTCTTATATATCTATATTATATAAAAGTTGCTATAAAGTCATTAAGAGTGTCCACATAGGATTTAAAACCAATTATGTTTTGACAAATCATTACTTTGATTTATTACTTTCAAAAAAGTTAATATTTCCAAAATTTATTTATTTAAAAATAAATTAGAAACCAATATTCAATAAGCTAAACTAGCAAAAATGAAATAATATAAAAAATTTAGTTAATATATATATATATACATATAATTTTCGAACTTTAACATAAAAATAAAAGCCAAAATAATAATTAACTTTTTAAAAGGCAATAATTTCAAAAAATTATAAGTAAATAAATTTCACTCACGATTTTCAAGGTTTAGGCTATATACTAATGTAATTATTTACAAATAACATATAACATATATAAGTTGAAGGTACAAATCATTGAGAATATTCACATAATATTTTTAAAACACCAAGAATATTTTAAATCATCATTTTATTTACTATATAAAAATAGAGCTATAAACCATCGATAGTATATAGCTAAACAACCAATCAAAATATCAAAAATCATAATTTTAGTTACTATTTTATTAAAATGTTAAAATTTATAAAATTGATTATTTCAATACAAAATAGAATTTAGTATCAAAGATGACGATGTCAAAAAAAAATCAAAGATGGCAAATTAATAAATAAATAATTAATATGGAATTGACTCATATATATATACTGAATATTTTGAAATTTAAATAGATCTATACTATATAAAATTCGAGGCTATCTGTTATATTATTCCGAAAAGAATATTTAGAGAATAGTTTTTGTAAGATAGATGAAAAAAATAAAGTCTAAGAAAGCATGTAAAATAAGTTTGTTAAGATTTAAACTAAAACTTATAAGGAAGACCAACAATAAATTAGCATGAAAAATAACAAAATGATAGAAGAATTAATAAATATGAATTTATTATTGTAAATATACTATGTATTATAATTAACAACACAATACTACAATAAGTACGCTATCTACATTTGCTATCTTATCGTCAGCATTTAGCAACTATAAAAAGACTTATCAAATTATGTAATAACTAGGTGATATTCCCGTGCTTATGCACGGCTATGAATATTCATAAAAGTAAAATTTTATAATAAAATTGATATAATTTATGTATAATTTATATTAATAATATTATATTATTCTAATTATACATATGACTTTGGATATATTATTATTGTTTTAATTATTTTTTGGATCAATAGTCGGTTTGGTTATCAATTTGGTATATTGGATAATATATATTTTTCGAATTCACCTATAATATTTTTTATTTTAACGGTAATAAAAATTTGGTTTAATTTTCTTATTTTCATTTTGTTTGGTTATTGTCTTAGATATGTAAATATATTATAGTTAAATTATGTATAACTTAATATATATTATGCTTAAAATGAAATAAATAATAAGCTACAGTGTTTGATTCAAAATTACATAAATGAATATAATGATAATATTTGGAAGTCTCAAGCATATATATAAATTTTAAAAAGAATTAAATTGTAATTGGTTGATATTTTCTTTTTTCTTTTTAATATGCTTTGAGTCAAACTCTAATTTATATGTATAAAATTAAATAGATTATTATTATTAGAAAATTATATGTTCTTATTGTAGTTAGATCTTTAATTTTGGATATAAATTAGATCAGTCGAGTCATTCATTTTGTAAGTACATTGAGTTAAATATATATTTAAATTAAAATAGAAGTATAATTACTTTTTGTTTTAGTTAAGTCAAATCAAATTAGTTTTATTTATCGCTTAAATATACATGTATTATCATAATATTTATCAAATTATATGGTGATTTCTAAAAAATATTAGAAAATAAAGTGTAACTGATAAATTTTGGATGTTCATGAACATATATATTTTTATTATTTTGAAAATATATTTTATTTTATTTTAAAATATTTATTAATGGGGCTATTACTATTTTGTGAACTTTCATTTTTAAGAAAGTCATATTATATACATATATTTTCGTTTTTAATTTTTTAAAAAAAATTAAGAAATAATTTGGAAAAGATAAAAAAAAATAATAATAATCTAATAATTCATTAAGGGTATCTATGTAATCAACCATCGTGAAAGTTAACGTGAGTGTGACACGTAGGAAAATGACTTCTCAAATAATATTATAGAGATTTTGAAAGGATCTTAAAAATCTTCATATAAACTCCAAAACAGACAAATATTTTCTGTCATACCAAAGTAATATTTTCATGTAAAAAAAATTCTAATTTATTATAACGCATTATAAAATCATACAAGCTTCACCACTATAAAAATAACTAATTAGATCAAGTAATAGATAAATATATTAATTTTATATTATCTTAAAAACACTATTTCATATTAATTAAAATTCATCAAAATATTAGTGTGATTAAATTTTAAAACTAAATATTATAATATCACACACACAAATATATATAAATCACACATTAATTGTAAAGTTTTCTGAGTACAAGGTATAATTAGATATTATGCAGAAGTTTAATAATTTATGTTGCTTAAATAAAAATATATATAGAATGTATGAAAAATATTATAATGCATTAACATTACATGAATCTAGAAATCTATATAATATTAATATAAATTAATATTTCCAAAAATTATGAATATGTTTATAAACATAATTATTACATTTATAAATACAAATACTAAACAACTAATAAGATAGTATAATTATAAATGAACATAAAACAATAAATTCAAAAATCATATTTTAAATACAAAAACTATATAAATCATCAAAAAAATATTTTAAAAGCTTATAATTTTTTAGTTTAAAGTTTATTTTAAAACTAACTAAATTATTAATACAGTGAATATAAAATCTAGTGAATATTATAAGATTCACCACACAACAAACAACACCAGCTTACAAACAAAGGCCAAAATACAAAACACAATCACATCCCCCACACAGTTTTCTTTTGCTTTTATTTGCTTTCCTAAGCAATAATATTTTTTCATGATCACAAGGCATTTTCCAAGTATCTCTCTGCCGGTATTTGTATACAATAATTAAAGTACTTTAGGTCGATCTTCGAACAAATTCTTTGTTGGAGTTCCCAAAAGGTATTTGTAATATTTGGCTAAGTAATGAAGATCTGCCAAAGTAAAAGTATTGCAAGCCAAGAATCTATATTTTCCGACTCGTTTCTTCTAGAAACTTGTCTAGATTAGCTTCGTTTTCTTTGACGAAGTAAGTATCAAACCCGAACCAAAATTGATTCAAAATCTGAATGGGTTCAAAATTTTGATATTTACAGAATCGAAACCGAACCTGATCCGAACCGAAATATTTAGGGTATCCGAATATATCCTAAAGAGATTTATATACCTATATATATTAATTATTTTTAGATTTAATGTATATAAAAATCATTCAAAATATATAAAATACTTTGAAGTTGTTCAAAATACTTATAAATATATGTAAATAGTACATTCCAAATATCAAAAATACTGTTATAAATTATTGATTCACAATCCAAATATTCAAATCAAACTAAATTATTAGTAATTTATTATTTTTTATATATTTTTAGAAATTTAAAGTATATAATCAATTTTAAAATTTAAAAATAATTTAAATGGGTTATCTGAACCCGAACCGAACCCGCAAAGATCTAGACCGAACCGAAATTTAAAAATATCTGAATTGGGCTAAAATTTGTGAATCTGAAAACCCAAAACCCGAATAGATCCGACCGAACCCGAATGGGTACCGAACGCCCACCCCTACTCACATTAGTGAAAAGTTAAATAAGGAATTATAGAAATGGTGAAACCATATCCTGTGTTTATTCCTGTTTGAATTTATTCTAGGACTAGAGTTACCGAAATCAAAATTAATATCTGTTTTTCTTTTATCCTACCTAGATTTCTTACTTGGCATAAGCCTAGTCCAGTCCATCAAGAGACAGGTACCATCTATATGTAAACTAAGTTAAAAAAGTTATATAGTCATTGTTTTGCAATACAAAAACGACGAACCTTTAGAGTCCTATAACTTTAATACATTTATCTTGTCGAGATTAACCATACATAGCTCAAGAAAAAAATCAAATCAAATAAAGAGTTCATTCCCATTGGCTGAAACTAGTTGAACATTTGGTACAAAGCATATTGAAATCGATATAATTAACCTGTTTCAATAAACCCATTATATAATTAAACATGATAAAAGATGGCATTGTTGTTGAAAGTTTGAAAAGTAAAAAACATGCAGATGAGTTAAATATCAGAGAGATCCTTGTTCAAGTTCAACTTTGTTGTCCTTGGCTTCTTACTTATGCATGGTACCAACTTCAACTTGCTAGTCCTGTTTTTGCATTCTTCCTTCTGAATATAAGAAGAAGCCCAAGTTTTAATATACACACTATTGAAGAAGAAGTAGAAATAAGGATCACACACTAACCCTCTTTCGACCATCATCGATGGGAATTTGATTGGTAGCTTCATCGATGGGAACTTGATTGGTAGCTGCTTCTTCTGCTTCTTCTGCGCCTGGGTAGCGCAAGAGTTCTTCTGATTCAATAGTGCCCCTACGCAGATACTCGGACTCGTTCAAGAAGTTGGACCTTTCTCAACATAACTCAGTGCTAACCATCTGGACCAGCTCCTTTTTTGATTTCGAGTCGACATATTGGACCACCATGTCTTCGAGTGGCTGAAGTTTCTCAGCTTTGGCCACCTATCGAAGAAAGAGAGAGAGGGTGAATACTAATTCCATTAATTATAGAATACAAAGAAAATCAGTATTAATCATTTATTTTGGTTCCACCAGTTAAAGCCATAACATAAAAGAATCAAATATTCAAAGTCTGACTGACCTTGAAAATTTTGATGAGAGATTTGAGGTTTTGGCTATGGATTTCATGGGAAAGTTGGTTACTTGACTTAGAGAGGATATGGTCGCGTGCAGCTTTGCGCACATTCTCATAACCAACGTACTTAGCCATCTTAAAGTAAAATTAAGATTAAAAATTAGAGAGAGGACTAAGATAGTAGTTGGAAACACGTACGAGATCAAGAAGGAGGACAAACCTTGATCAACTTGATCAAATTACGCAAATCTTTGTTGACAATCATCTGGGAGAACTCTTCTTGTGACTAGTTGCATATTCCCCGCGCAAGCGCGGGACCGGATCATTATGTTTACGTGTATTTTTTTCGATTGTTGGTTTAGTGGATTCTTCTAATGACACTAATTAATAATGAAATGGAAAATTTCATGTTTTTATATCGTATGTCAAAACTTGATATAATTTTATATTTATAGTATTTATATTTTTATTAAACGATTTATCAATATGAAAATAACCTTAATTAAGTTAATATTCGTTGTTTAAATTTCATTAGATAGGTTTTTATATATGGTTTTTTGTAAGTTTCGGTTTTGTTCATAAATGATGTGGCATTTTTATCTACGGAGTCATCGACTGTGGGAATTCATTCGCCGAAGTCTGGAGTCGGTGGTGAGAAATGTTTTCGATGAAATTATAGTAGTTATTAAAATGTAAGAGAAATTACATATTCATTTAATAAATAACTTACTTAAATTTTGTTGTTTATTTTATTTTATTTATCATACAATTGTTTTTGAAAAATATTAGGAATGTGTTAAATGTTATTTATATGCGAAGTAAGGTTTATAGGAATAATTAGGCTATAATATAGTTTTTAGTGTGTAAAAGTAGGTGTGTGTTTTTTTGCTGTAAAAATTTTTATATCGTAGATCAAAACTTGGTATAATTTTATATTTATAGTATTTATATTTGTATTAAACGATTTATCAATTAGAAAATAACCTTAATTAAGTTAATATTCGTTGTTTAAGTTTCATTAGATAGGCTTTTATATATGGTGTTTTGTAAGTTTGAGTTTTGTTCATAAATGATGTGGCATTTTTATCTACGGCGTCATCAACTGTGGGAATCCATTCGCCGGAGTCTGGAATCGGTGGTGAGGAATGTTATCAAGGAAATTATAGTAGTTATTAAAATGTAAGAGAAATTATATATTCATATAATAATAACGAAAATAATTAATTTTTGTTGTTTTATTTTATTTCATCTCACATACAAATTTTTTGAAAATATATATTAGGAAATATGTGCAATGATTTAACTTTTTGAGCTCCTAATCTATATTATTCAACCTTCATTAAGCTATCCACGTATGCACCCGCGTGGAATTCACTTTTCTTTTTTTTTTTGTCTGTTCGTTTTTGGATTTATTTTTTATTATTTTTGGGTTGAACTATATTATAATAGGATAGTTTTAAGGTTCTTTAAGCCATCCGCGTAGGCAACCACGTGAGACTTGTTTTTTGTTTTATTATTCGTTTTGGATTCATTTTTAACTATTTTGGGTTTGAACTTACTAAGGTTTAGGGTTTATACAACTATTCTGATCTTTAAAACAATAAGCCCAAAAAAAAACATAAGAACCTTATAAACAAAAAGCCCATATGATAATAACCTAAATAAAAAAAATCAAAAATACATGATAGCTGTGTGGTTTGAACCCACAATCTTACATACTTAATTAGACACCTTATACCACTTGGATAAAGTGTATTTCATTGTTTGTGATCATCTTACCAAGACTATGTGTGTTTAAAAAATATTTTTATGATGATGACATTAATTGGTTTATGCATGAGAGCAGTGGGAATTGAACCCATGTCCTTGGCGACCAAACATAAGGTCTTAGACCACTTGGCTAAACTGATATTCTTTGTTTGTAGCCATTTTAAAAAAACTATCTATTTTAAAATAAAAATGTGGGACCCACAATCTGCCTATGTGGACACTTTAAGGAGCTTTTAAACTCAATCATTATAATATAGATTTCTTTACAAGGGGGAGCACCGCAGAGAAGAGCTTCTCGGCATTTTTCAGGTAAAAACGAGCAGACTTACACACACACACAAAAAAAAAACATAGAATTGAGTTCTCAAAAACACATAATCTGAATTAATTTTTTTTTTTTTTTTTAAATACCTTGACAATTTTGAGTAGAGACTGGAGTTCTTCATTGCGAACCATATAAGATATCTCTGCTTCTGATTTGTCTTCCACATACTTGAGGATAAAAGCGTCCAGTGACTCAAAATTCAGAAACTCAGCCGTCTCGACAAGGTGGAAGAGACCGATCAGGCTTTCGCTGTGTAGGAGCTCGTCAGACATCCACCTCTCCGAGCAAGAGCCATCACTGATCCTCACGCAGTATGTTAAAATCTTCTTGAAGGCTGTGCTTCTCACGAAGTACATCTCCACCGGCTCACGTAGCCTATGGAACCCTTCCTCTGGAACCATCTTATTGAACAACTCCCATGTCTTGCGATCAACTTCTACAACCTTCTTATCACTGCAAATACACTTGACTGTATTACTCTTATTACAATCACCATCCGCCGCCATTAGAAGCAGCAGCAGCAGCAGCGTAGATTTTTTTATTTTTATTTCTGCGGCTAAGAACACAATAGAAGAGTTATTATGTACGACAGCCCTAATAACAGACGAAGTCGTTTCCCCTGTCGGCAAGACACACTTTTACTTTTCTTTTTTCTTCTTTTTCTTTTTCCTTTTCTATCTAACTGTGCCCAAATGAGCAAATAAAGCAGTAAAAGTTGTGCAGCTGAAAAAGCCCTTTTCGAAGCCCCAACATTAGCAAGCCTATGTGTTCAATTTGATTAATGAGATGAACTTCAACTGAAAAATAGAATAAAATCGTTGTAGATAATTGTTCATCAATCATAGGCAGCTCCTAGGGCTGGGCAATCGGGTCTCAATCGGGTTTCGATTCGGGTTCTCGGGTTCATGAAATTCATTTCAGCTCCATTCAGATATTATAAAAATTCGGATCGGACTCGTTTTGGTTATCTCGGGTAAGGTTCGAGTTTAGTAACATGTCTAAAATCTGGGTTAATCCAAAATAATTTTGGTTTCGGATACTAATTGGGTTATCGATTCTAAAAATACTAATTTATACTCTATTAAACTCAATATATTTTAATCGTTTAAATAAATTCGTGTATTTAGCTTTTTCAAACCATATTATTGTCCTTCAAAATTATATTGTGAAACTCCTCTATCAACCATATAATATTTGTCTTTGAACTATATGTGACAACACTAAACATATCATGATTAATGACAAATAAAAGTCTTATATGATCGAAAATCATATATTATTAAACATAAAAAATTAAAGTTAATAACTAATAATTCTATAAACGTAAGAAATACTATTTACACTTAAAAACAACAACATGGTTTAAACTTCAAAACAATTTATTCGTAACTAAACTTCAAATGTAATGTCAAGCATAAACACTAGTATTAACCAAATAAAACTATATATTAGACTATTTGAGTTAATTATTCATGTAATAACTAATTATTGTAGGTACTAAATAATATCTTGATGTGTTTTGGAAACATATTAGAAACTGAGACTGAATATGGTACAAGTTTTTAAAAAATTTAAAATTTTGGGATCTTTCGGATATCTATTTAAGTTCGGGTTTGGTTCGGAGATTTATTCGGTATTTATGTTGGGTTTGGACCGGTTGGGATTCATTTTTATCGATCCATCGGATTCGTTAGATTTTTGGGTTCGATTTTTTTTCCCAACCCTAGCAGCTCCAAACAAATTAAATTTCCCCTTCAGCTGAGTGGTTCTCGCCCCACAAATATGTATTGAACAAAAACGGACCTCCGGTTCAGCTAATCCATGGAGCCTTTGTTAAAAGAAAAAGAAATGAGCCTATGTTCAGCTAATCCATGGAACATAAACTTTGGCGGTGGACTTAACCGAGTTGGTCAACAATTGACGCTTGTTCGTCGTTTTAGGATTTTGCAGCTTGCGGTCTGCCAATTAAATGAGTAAAGAGCAGGTGTCATTAGAAAATAATGGGTGCCTCAGTTACGGAGAAGTAGGGATGTTAATACGAGCTTAACTTAACAGGATTAGCCCTAACCCTACTTTTGACATAGGATTTAAAAATAGTTATCTATAATTAGTCTTGAGAGTTAAAGAGTTTAAATTTAACTCATTTAATTTGCTTCATACAAATATTTAACTATATATTGAAATATTAATTTGGTTTAATTATGCAAAATTTCATTTTTTCATTATCCAGTAAAATTAATTTTTTTGCTCAAATCTTTTTTTTTTTTCCAAAACTGAAAATCTGATTTTTCGTAAAAATCGTGAAAATGAGTACATTTTCACGATTTCAAAATGTAGCTTTTTATCAAAAAAGGTTTTTCGGCCCAAATTGCAAAATCGCTTTTTCTGCCAAAATTAAAAATTAAGTTTTCCCGTCAAACTAGATTTTGCAGTTCTGGCGGGAAAATACAGTTTTACAGTTTTGACAGGAAAACTCAATTTTGTGATTTTGACGGGAAACTTAATTTTTCGATTTTGGCGAAAAACTCAATTTACGGTTTTGGAGGGAAAATCAAGTTTGTAGAGTTTATGGGAAAATTTGATTTTGCGGTTGGGGCGGGAAATGGTTTTGCGGTTTTGGCTGAAAGCTTGATTTTTCGGGAAAATTCGATTTTGCAGCTTTGAATGGAAAAGTCGATTTTGCAGTGTTGACGGGAAAACTCGATTTTCAACTTTGGCAGGAATCAAGTTGAAGTGTTAGCAGGAAAACTTGATTTTGGCGGAAAACTTGCGTTACGATTTTCGTGGGAAGTCCCAAATTTGTAGTGTTGACGAGAAAACTTTATTTTGCGGTTGGTGCGGAAAATTTTGATTTTGTGATTTTGGCGGAAAATTCAATATTGCAGTTTTGGCGAGAAAACTCAATTTTACAGTTTTGGCGAGAAAACTCAATTTTACAGTTTTGGTGAGAAAACTCAAGTTCGTAGTGTTAGCGGAAAAACTTGATTTTGCGGTTTTGGCAGGAAAACTCGATTTTACGGTTTTGCCAAAAAAAACTTATGTTCGTAGTGTTAGAAAAAAAAACATGATTTGGTGGTTTTGGCGAAAAAACACGAGTTCACAGTTTTGGCTGAACAACTTGATTTTACGGTTTCGGAGGGAAAACTTGATTTTGGCGGTTTTGACGAAAAATTAATTTTACGATTTTGGCGGGAGAATTTAGTTTTGTGGTTTTAGTGTGAAAATTTGATTTTACGGTTTTGGCAGGAAAACTCAAATTCGTAGTGTTGGCGGAAAAACACGAGTTCCTAGTTTTGGTGGAAAAATTTGATTTTTTGGTTCAGCGAGAAAACTCAATTTTTGGTGGAAAACTCAATTTTCATTTTTGACTGAAAAATTCAATTTATAAAACCTAATTTTGCAGTTTTAACGAGAAATTTTATTTTTCATTTGCACATTAAAACAAAAATAAATTAAAGAAAAAATTCTATTTAAATGGATTAACTCTGGTACCAACCATAATCCTTAAATAAGATAGAATTAAAATAAGGTTAAGTTAAAATATGGCTGGATTTATATTAAACTAAAGAGTGTTAAACTCTGGTCCTGCACTTAACATCCCTACGGAGAAGGCTGGAAACGTAATGAAAAAAAGACAACTTCATTAGACGTCGCAGATCATCAAATTCTTTGTGCCCAAAAATGAGCCTCAGAGTTAAGGAAAAGAAGATGTCAACTACAATTTAGTGTTGAAAATACTTACAACGATATCTTACTGTTAGATTGTTAATTTAGAAAGGTTTGATTTTTGGGAAATTGCCAAAAGGGAGCAAAAAAACATAACTATTGTTCTCTTAGAATAAAATAATTTTTTTTTGTCCCTATAGTATAAACATTAATACAAATCCCATTTAGTTCTTACTAATTAATTTTATAATATAAATATAATTTAAGTTAATTAGAAATTAGTTATATTTATTTTTTATTGTATTCGACATCGAATTGGCGAAAGAGAAGCAACACCACTTCAGAAGAAGGTTCTCGAATCCGTAATCGAGGTCAGCGACATCGACACCATTCTTGAGCAAGGTGAGGAGGCGGAACGTCTTTTCACTATTAATCACAGCAACACCACTCCTTTGCCTATCGATCTTAGGAGCTCTGATGTAGTTGGTCGGCCACACTCGGCTAGATATCAGTTTTGCCGTGAATTTGTTATCAAGATTCAGCTCTTGTCCAACCCAGAGGCACTGAAACGGGATAAAAAACATATACTTCGTTATTTACAAGGAATGAAAGATTTGGATTTATTATATACTAACCAAACTAAGGATGGTTTAGTTTGTTTTGTTGATGCAGGTTACTTATCAGATCCTCATTGTGGTAAATCTCATACAGGATATGTCTACACATATGGTGGTACAGCAATATACTGCTGTTCCATGAAGCAGACCATGACGGCCACTTCATCCAACCATGCAAAGATCCTAGCCATACATGAGGCCAGCCGTGAGAGTGTATGGATAAAGGCCATGACCAATCATGTTCGGGCCACTTGTGGAATGACCAAAGGGAAAGACCCACCACTCGTGATTTATGAAGACAATGCGGCATGCATAGCACAGCTCAAAGATGGCTACATCAAAGGACACAGGACGAAGCACATTCTGCCTAAGTTCTTCTTCACACATGATCTCCAGAAGTCAGGCGAGGTTCAAGTTTTGCAAGTACGTTCAAGTGAGAATTCAGATGATCTCTTCACCAAGTCATTGCCAACCTCGACCTTCAGGAAGCTAAAACATAAGATTGGGATGCGTCAGTTGAAGGACCTTCAGTGATGCATTCGTTAGGGAGAGTTCATGTGTTGTACTCTTTTGTCATTTCTTGGTTTACCTTTTTACCATATTGGGTTTTGGGTTTTCCAGGAGATTGTTTTAATGAGGCAACATCAAAAGCATGAAATGAACCCTGATCGGATATATCAACCAAGGGAAAATGTTAAGAATCATTTTTGGTGGTTCGGCCATATCCGAAACCGGACCTGGTCGGGTCCATAGACCAGAGGCCCAATGGCGACTCCTGGTCCTTATCCATCTGCGGCCAGCAGATCTTATCCATATCTTTTTCCTTGTGTTTATCCTTATTGTTGTAATTATCCTAATCCATACAGGATTAGGATTATCTCCTTGTTGTAATCCTTAACACTTTAGGATTAGGATTATCTATTGCTTAATGACGGTTTATGTACTCATATATATACTGGTCGATGTCATTAATAAAGTTAACAAGTTTCTACTCTTTTTACAACAAGAAGGGATTTTCAAATGAGATATTCTGAGAATTCACAAACAACTATTTGTTTTTGTTTAGTGGTTTATCTTTTTAAAGTAAATTTAAATATTTAACAAAATTATTTTAAAATATTAATAGTGTTTTTTTTTTAGATAATTATTGCCACCAATGCATTCACACGTTAATATAACTATATATGTTTAAGTAGTTCTACAGTTACATTTTTGTAATACATTTTCACTAATACAGTGGATCAAATTAATAACAATAAACATATATATATATATACATATATATCTTTATATATAAAGTAAAGTTTGCTTCCCTCTTGGAAAGCCACGTCAGAAAATAAAAGTTTACAGTCATGACACGTGGCACTAACTACAAACATTCGAAAGTTAAAAGATTGGGCTTCCAAAATGTGTCCATAATTTCACAAACCTAGGCCCACAATGGTTTTTTACTGTCCATTAACTCTCTTCCAAATGATCGATAAGGACGATGCCGTTAGAGCAGGTTTATTGCAGTTGCTTAAGGCAATTGCTTAGAGTATTTTATAATTAAAAGAAAAGGAACAGAGAAGAATGTTGCTTAATTAAGCAACAGAAGGGCCGTTGTTTCTCTGTTGCTTCCCTTGCTTTTCATCTTTTCATGCTACTTTCCCTTTCTCTTTTTTTTGTTCATTTAATTTTCTTTTCATTGGCCCACTTAAGCAACTTTTAAGAAAATTTAGCAATAAACATGCTCTTATGACGAACAATGTGCTTCTCAGCGCCATTAATGCTCCATTAACCTCTCCATAAACGCCACGGATCGTCGACTCCTACCACCACGTCTCAATCAATACACCACCTCCTTATGCATCTACTACTATAAATATGGGAGTTCCTTCGCTGATATTCCTCCAGAAGGCAACCTTTCTTTACTTCATTTAATAAATTATAATGGTTGATATTGGATTTCTTCTACTCATCTGGTTGGATCAGTAGACTCGGTATCCCTCTACGTAGATTCCGTTGATCCGTTGATTAGATTGTTCTCTGTTTTCCAGATTAGAGGCGTCAGTGATTCATGTTATACTTATTGGCGAAAGAGATTACAAATTAGTGATGCAAAAATAAACTCACTGAGATGCTTACTGGGTTATGCTCTGATTATTTTGCGGCGGAGAGATTGTATCACCGAGGAAAGGGAAGTGATTTAGGCAAACATCTAACAAAATGATTGCTGGAGAAGCTTACGGCTGAGCATGGTGCTCTCTGCATCAGTGGGAAATTCATCTAATCAAAGGTCACGTGTTTAGTTGCTGATGTCAGGATCTTCCACGTGTTAGATTAATTTTATCATATGGTTAAGAGTTTGGATATGGCTTTGGATTATGCATTTAGTTTCTTTAGTTTGTCACGAACATGCTCAAGATCTTTACCCTTCTTTTATGTGCACTGCTCAAGATCTTTACTTTGGATTAAAAAATGGTATGTATAAGTGCTAAGTGCTAAGCATAAGACAAGTGCATATATATGATCATGCGTTCTCCAGAAGTTGTACAAGGAAACATATAGCAAGCTAACTCATAAATATATGAACTAAATTAATGACAAATTTCAAATATCATTTCCGGACACTACAGATCTCAGGCTAACACAAACACAAGTTCCAATTTTTTGAAATGATCAAATCCTGGCAGAAGTGGTAAAATAAACTAACTTTCCACAGTTTCTTAGGCTGAACACACAAGAACCCAACTTCGAAACTGAGGAGGAAATGAACGTACACCCGCAGTTGATAAATTAGACCCTCCTCTCAACCCATACAATCAGATCGTAGAAGTAAAACTAAAATCTCCACCCGTCGAACATAACAGACGAATCATTGAATCAAACGGGTCAATGTCTACACACATTTTTGTAACTTCAAATCCAAACACTTGAGGACTTTATTATTATTTTTGGGTGAGACCAACACGTGTGAGATCATTTCCTATCAAGAGTTGTATCTCAAAGGAATAAAACCCTCAACTTATTAAATACAAGAAAAGTAAATATTGTGAACACCGTAAAAGAGATCTATTAGTTTTAATATAGTAACAAATCTATACCTTCTAAAACAAAACAAAAATAGTAAAATATGTAATAACAATAGTGAAAATTATAATTAAAAATAAATTAAATTTTTTTATTAAATTTTAGATATATTTCTATTATTTTTTAATTTGTTTGCCCGCCCGTAGGGCGGGTCCGGCCCTAGTATATATATATTTGAATCTTTTCACATAGTTTGTCTTTTCACTAATATGGATCTTTGGTACCCAACTCCAAGTATTCTCTATTGATCAGATCCTCAATATGTTTTTTGATCATCTTTACAGTAAGCTGCAAAATAAAATAAAAACCAATAAGAAACTTTTCTTAAATATGAAACCCATGTGTTACTATACTTTTTGTTTTTACAAGTTATTTTGAAATTTTGGCTAAGTTACTCAACACATTCAGGGATTAACTGTTGGTAGAGCAACATTATCATGCTTTTCATGATTCACACAAGAGAAGCATCATAAATTGATGATGTGGGAAAGATGGAAAGAAGACAATGATCTTATCATAATACCCTGATTATATGCCTTTTAGATGTGAACTTGGAGTTGAATTCAAAAGCAAACATTTTAGATGATCTTTGAGACTGGTTCTTCTGTACAAAACTTGTACATTAAGCAAGAGAGTGATCGAAGCAGCATGACAAGATCTTGATGGCTAAGGTAAGTTATTCAATGAGCTCCTGGTAGATTGATCTTTTTAGTGGTGTTGAAAGCACAAAGCATAATAGCCTGAAACAAAAACAAAAGATATATTAAAATATATTGTCACGGGAGAACAACCACAACCAAATGTAGATATATCTAGAAGGTAGAAACAATCAACTCGATAGGTTTATAATCAAATCATCTATTAAGATGATGACATGATTTTGGTTTCATAATATGTCTTGAAAGTTTCAATACAGTGAGACAAGTGATATATTGGAGTCTGATGTTTTGTAACTCGGTCAATAACATGTTTTTAAGACTGACCATCAAATCAATCCCTTTTGGTATTCCAGTATTGCCATTTTCTATATATTTATTGGAAGCCCTTCTATCTTTCTTTTGCCATTGCCATATTCATCACCTATTAAAAACATATTAGCCAAAACCTTAATTCCTACTAACATATCAATTAACAAACCATTATTTTAAACACATACTAGAAATATTTTCTTTTGTAAAAATATGTTCTTTTAGCCTTTTTGATTGAGTTTTTGGTTACCATGGTTGCAGAAATTGGTGCACTAACGGCGGGGTGGTTCTGCGGTTCCCTAATCATTTCCCATGATTCCAACTTTTATCGTTAGCCCAACATGAACACTTGATCTCTTAACGTCACTGTTTGCTTATGCGTTTTTGTTTGTTTCATGTACTTTCTTCAAGTAAGCTTCTTTTGATCCTCACATGTTATTTTTCTCAATAGAACCTTCCAGCTTCCGCAATAATAGTGAAATTATTAAGTGTTTGATTAGTTCTACATTTACAACTTTTTGTAAAAGTATATTTTTCCTTAAGACATAGGATCGAATTAATAACAACAAACATTTATTTCTTGGATTTTTTCACATGCCATTGGAAGTATCTAAAAGTGGTTTTCATAATAAATATTCAAAAAGTTACAAGGGCTTTTCAAATGAGAATTTCATGGAAAACTACTTGTTTTTGTTTAGTGGTTTATTTTTTATAAAGTTAGTTTATATTTAACAAGATTATTTTAGAATATTAACATTTTTTGGTTTGAGATAGGATGCTCTCATAGTTGTTTCCATCAATGCGTTCACACGGTAATACAACCAAAACCGTATACAAATTTATATTTAATAAGATTTTTTTGAATATTAAAAAAAATTAATTGGTTTGAGATAGGATGTTCTCATAGTTGTTTCCATCAATGCATTCACACGTTAATACAACCAAACCAGTATACATGTTCAAGAAGTATCAAACATCAAGAAAAAAAAATGAAGGATTAATTGATATAATTTTGAGAAGAAAAAAAGAAAACAAAATGAAGGACGAGTATTTAGAGGAACCGGCGCTTCCACGGGACACGATTGTTTTTCCTCACACAACAGCCACATGAGTAAAGAAGAACAACGAGAAGGATAAGAAGAAGATTGAAGACGAGAAGAATCCTCCATCTTCTCCTTACCCCTTTGTAAACTCCAACCTTGCACGTCTCGCAAGCATAACACAACTGGCTCTGTGTGTTACTCCACGTCTTGCAGTCCCCAGTGATCTCTGCACTTGATGTCGCTGGAACTGTCCAAAACGTAACATTCTTTGGCTCGAACCCACATTCTACTGGTGGTCGACAACATCCGAACTGAATACAAGAAAAATAACATTTTACATACTTATATACAAAGAATTACCATTTTAGATTTTGTTGGTTGTTTAAAGTCCAATCGTTTCTTTAGATTTTCGGATTTTTGGTACCATCCCAATAAGTCTTATTCGAATTTTCCTAATTTTAGATCGAGTTAGACTCGATCTTTCTTGGTTTGCTTCAATAAAAACTAACAACCTACATAAATTAACTAAAAATGTATTCAAAATAACCAAAAATCAGGTATAAAAACTACCAAAATGCTCTCTAATATGTAAATTATCTGAAGTTATATATAACTAATACGTTTATATAGCTTCAGATATTTTCATATACTAATCAGGATTTCGGTTCGGATTATAATTTATATCCAAAAACTATTTAGCACATAAACTCTATTCGGATATTTTTTTATAATCGATTTGGATCGGATTAGGTTAAGTTACAAAAGTCCATTGTCTATCAAAATATATCAACACATACCTTTACATGAGAGAGATGTTTGGCGTCAAAGTGGACGTCACGTGGACCAAACCTACAAATGGTAGAATCAGCCATGCATCTTTTAATCCCTTCCCAGTTCTTACCTTGAAGAAAATGATTCCCTATCCAGTTTTGAAGATCACCGGTCTTAGCCTTTCCTATACCCTTGTCCGAAAACGCTTTTCCCGCGGAGGCATTAGTTACAAGAAAGATGAAGATGGAGAAGCCCAAGATGAGTAGAAGGGAGAGGAAGAGGAAGAATAGGTAGAGAGTAATGATGATGTAGTTGTCGTAGAGAGCCGCGATGAGGCCTAAGGAAGATATGAAGAAGAGGAGAGTTGCTGTCACGATGAGAGGGTTTTGGATGAACTGTTGACATTCCGTTGGGCCTTTCACAAAGAGGTAGATAGAGAAACATAAGGTGGCCAGGCCGATCAATGCGAGGATTGCGTTTGTTGTTATCACGGCGGCGTTGCTTAGCCGTGGCATTGTTTAAGCCGAGAGAAAAGTTTGTTAGTGGAGAAAATGAATGTCTCAAACTCAAAAAGGGTTATATATTAAAATACATGTAAATGTGTCGCATATACGAGGAATATTGATCTTGTTTACCAAATTGTTTTTAGAAAATGTGAACAGTAAAGTTGTCATAATCCGATAACTTGTTATATATTTTGTATATATTTCAAGTTGTGACCATTTAGTTATTGTTAATTTATTATATTGGTATGACGATGAGTAAAATACTCACATTTCAAAAGTATCCATAGATCAAAGATGTCATTATTATTCTTAACTACTTAGAGAGGCCCTTGAACAGAGACTCAATTAACATTTTGATAAAAAAAAATAAGAAATTCTTGTGATATATTCAAGGTCAGTTTTGTGATTTAAAACAGTATAAACATTCGTAATAAAAATTGTTTCAAAGATTTACACATTTATAATAGATGTTTAATTTTTTTTAAAGAAAATTAAAATGGTATAAGATGAATCTTAATTAAAAAAAAATATTTCTAAAAAAGAAATTCTCTAACCACTCAAATCTAATCATGATCAATCTTTATATTCTATTCTCTTTTTTATTCACCTCTTTCACTGCAAAGAGTTGCATCTATGGTGGATTGATATTTAATTTTTCTCTTTTTCAATCCACCATTATAATCTCTGGTATAGTCTCCGTGACTATGTTCGATGACGACAAATCCAAATTGAATCAAATATCAAGTGGTAAGGAATTTATCCTAACCGTTTTACTCTGGAAACAAATTTCTTGAAAACCACCGTGATATATTATCGTTACGGGTCTGGGAGTGATGCAACCACTAAGGTATTTAAAGTTTTTGAAGATTACACCTCTATTCATATCCCAACTCTATTCATCACATGGATCAGGGAGTGCATTACTTCCCCAAGATTCTCTATTGCTATAAACAGTGAAGAAAAAATACTTTCTCATGGAGACTTGAAAAACAGCCACAATTAAAAGTTAAAACGGTTTAATTGTGACGTGTGAGTGGTTGTTACTAATAAAACAATCGGCACTACGTTGGGACGTGGTTTCCACTAACTAAACATCTGAAGCTTTGGACGGTATAAAATTAAGCTCTTTGACTTCGCCTCCATCACTTCATGTTCATGACAACGCGCTTTTGTCAAAACTGGATGATCTTAGTTTATATTTTATCAACTTATTTATTTATTATACGTGTTTATATATTCATACAAATGGTTTTATGCGTCTCAAATAAATACCAAATCGGTCTCATATTTGATTCGCTTATGTCAACACCAGTTCGGTAGGTGGGTGACAAATTGAACCATTTGCACCTCCCAGGTAAGTGATTAGTACTTAAGTTTTTCATCTCAATATTGTTTTATTTATTACCACAAAATATGTATATCAAATGCGACTTGATTTTTCATTGGTACATAAACATAAAACGTGTTATACCGCGGAGGAAATTTGAGGGGCTGGTACATAGCTGTTACTATTGCTTTCTTTGCCGTTTAACTTCTCGGAGGAGAAGATTTCATCACCACACATTACTAATGCCTTGAGGTCATCATCCGTGATTCTCTGAAATTATTAACAAATTGAAACCAAGAATTAAGTGTGAGATTCTATAAACAATTAATATATAAATTCTTATATCAAATATAGTTAAAAGTATATATAAGTTAAGTCAAAAGTATTATGTGCATGAAAATAATATAATAAGAAATTAGAAACAAAACCTTTTTCTCCTTGGTTAAATCTCTGAACCGTGAGAAAACCTCGTTCAATTTCTCATCATTGATTTCATATCCCAACTGAGATCAGAAATAAACACCCGAGTATACAAATTAACAAATATATAATGATCTCTTATTTGAGTAATTATATACGATCATTGTACAACCAAGGACTATATAAATAATACAATAACAAGGCATATACCTCTTTCAGTCGACCTTTCACTGCATGACGTCCACTACATATTTCCATAGTTTTTAACAAATAAGTTAAAAATGGTACGTTCCATAGGTTAATTAAATAAAATCAACAAAATATTATTTGAAATTGAATAATTACCTAAGCTTTCCAAGAACAATGCCGGATTTTTCAGATTTTACAATCCCAATATCTTCTGGTGATAAGATCTCATATGTACTCCGATTTTTCAATATCCCATCCTGCAAAATGTTTAAAGAATGATAACCATATGCATCTCATATTTGTTTTTTATGCCAAATAAGTATGTATGCATATACATATGTACCGAACCTGGTGAATGCCGCTCTCATGAACAAAACAGTTGGCTCCAACTATAGGCTTGTGGGGCTGAACATACAAGCCGGTGTATTCTTGAACCTAAGAATTAACAACTAGTCAATTATTATAAACGTTATGGAAAGTAAACACTAGCTCCTCGCCATGTCAAACTTACCATCTTGCTTGTAGCCATAATTTGGCGTGTGTCTATTCTTGTGTAAACACCACCCATCAGGTATGCTCCTCGACATTTCAAAGCCATCACGACCTATATATACATACCAAATCATTGACATGTTGATGATGAATTTTAATGATGATAGATCTACCATTACGATCTTGTTGAATTTCATGGACTAATTTCAAAACCAAGTGGTAATAAATAGATTAAAAACGATCTTTCTATTCCAAATTTTTTTTTAATTCTTATCGGTTATATTATGTTTTGTCTCACTTCAGATGTGTGATTTCTAGCATATCATACCTCTTCAAGCGGTGCATTTCCACTTCTTTCACCTATTCCATTGATTGTTACATCGACTTGTCGTGCTCCCGCACATATACCCTATTAATATGTCCATATAGTGAGTAATTCTATATGTATTTTGATTGTTATTTGTTAAATAAAATGCAGAGGGAGAATTAGAAAAGGTACGGCGATTGTGTTGGCGGTAGCAACACCAAGGTCATTGTGACAATGAGTGCTCAAGATAACATCATCAATTCCAGGAGTGTTTGCTTTGACGTATCTCAAAAGTTCTCCATATTCTCGGGGCATGTTGATCCCCACTGTGTCCGGGCAGGCCAGGGTGGTTGCACCCGCTTTGATCGCTTCTTCAAAAACCTTGCATATATAATCCTTGTCCGACCTGCTTAATTTTAACCACATATTAGTATTTTATAAATATGTATGAGATCGTTAAAAGATATTGTGTATAAAAGTTCATTACATAGTCAAGCAAAATCTATAACTTTACTGCAACTAAGATTTTCTTTATAGAAATATAGTACTAAAATTTTTATGCTCTTTTGAACCTTTGAAAAAAATAATGGAAATGTATAAGATACGAACCTGCCGCCATCTTCACAACCAAATTCGATGTCTTCGAAACCTAAACTTTTAGCAAACTTAATACTACGTACGACCATCTCGAGGACTTCATCCCTATTCATTTTCAACTTATATTTCAAGTGGATGTCACTAGTAGAAGTGAATATGAGTATCCTCGGCCTCTTTGCGTACTTCACTGACTCCCAAGCCGCTTTAATATCTCTTTCTTTGCTTCGTGCGATGACGCATATCACTGGGATATAACCTGTTTCCTCATCCACCTGGCAAACACACAAGATAGTCTTTAGTGCTGAATATTTGACAATTTCTTCATCATGCTTTTCATGAAAGCCATGCTAATTAACTTGCCTTCTATTTTATCGAATTGTCTAAACCAACAAGGTTTTTTTTATGACAAGAATAAGGGTTTTGGTCTGTATGCATGTACGTCCCGAGATTTAAACCAGTTTAAATTCACTCCCATTTGGAGAGAAAACCTCTTCCATCGGAACTGAACCTGTGAGCACCATTAACCCTAAAACCTCGTTTGGTATTTCTTTTTTTCTTTTTTTTTTAAAATTAACCAATCGTGAGCCGCCACGTATTAATGGACCCGACCGTGCAAGAACTCAAGCAAACTCTCTTGTAGAAAAGGAAGAAGAGGTGGTTTTTAACAAAATTGTGGGACCCATCTCTTAAGAACCCACTTAAGAAGTAGGGTTAAGAGCACCCCCATCAGTGAACCTCTGGATGGGGATTCACAACTTTTACTTTTTTTTTTTAATTTTTTCGTTTTAATTTTTGTATAAAAAAATTGACCAATAGCAGACCGCCATGTGTCGTGGGGACCGCAGAACAGAGATGATATAGGTTCATCACCATGAACTTCCAGCAGATAGGTTCATAGTTTTAGCATTATTATATTATTATTTTTTTGGGAAATGTGAGAGCACCCCCTCATAAATCCTCAATGGGGGTGCTCTAATGGTGTTCTAATGGTGCTCTGAATAATCTAAGAGTTTTATCCATATGTCAATCCCTCATTAGTAGAAACAACAAGGTTAACTATATAGTTTTTCGAACTTTGTTAACTATATAGTTTGGCACCAAAACAACTACTGTGCGAGGTTCAAATAGCTTCTTTACTCTGACTTTCAACGTTAGAATTATCTTTAATTTGAACAATGTTTTTAAGCGATATAATTTTCTGTTTATGAAAGAAAAAAACGATATAGTTTAAAGAAGGAAATAAAGACACAAACCTCATTCCCCACGGTCTTGGCGATGGTTTTGATGGTTTCAAACTCTTCCTCTGAAGACGCAGGGAAACCAACTTCCATGATGTCTACTCGCAGCTTAGCGAGCTGCCAGGCAATCTCTATCTTATGTGGTGGAGTAAGTGCTGCACCGGGAGATTGTTCGCCGTCACGGAGCGTCGTGTCGAATACACGCACATAGTTCTTGTCGGGGAGCTTGTTCGGAATATACTCTGGCCACCGTTCCACAATGTGTTTCAGGTCAGTAGCACTAGTTTCAGCTTTTTTGGACACAGAGGAGCAACATGAGATGGCCAAGAACGACTTGTTGTACGGACGGATCAAGCGGACAGATCCAAAGGGTAAGAATGACCGGACAACCATGGTGGAACGGGTGGTAGGGATCGTTCCGGAAGATGTTAGAAGCGACGAAGCCATAACGATGAAGTACGTAGAGGAGAAATGTTTTGTTGTGATTTGGAGGATAGATTGTGAGAAAATTGTTTTGCAGTGAGATGGAGAACATGTGAAATAAAATATATCTATATTTATAGATAGGTAGAACATCTCTTTTAAAAAAATGGATTTCAAATTTTTATTTTCAAAATCCCTTTAACAAAAAAAAAATCCCTTTAACAAATGTTTTTTTAATGGTTAGAAACATATGATTTAGGGGAGTGACTGATTAAGCTTTCATATGACACTATAGTTGCCGTATAACTTTTTTGTTATTAACATTTTGTTATTGTGTCCCTTTGACAAAAAAATAACATTTTGTTATTGTGATTATTTAAGGCTAGTTATTATAATAGTCTGGTTTAAATATGCTCTCTGCATTTGATAATTAAAAAGGTACAATGCAATGCGGAGACCTAACAAGCAAACTAGGAAAAGAAAAAATATTGGAAAAGGTTTAAATAAGATATATCCAAAATGCACTTTCTCAAAATTCATATAACTATAACTGTTCATGTTAAAACTCTTTACCAACAAAAAACAATTAAAGTAGAAAAAGAGAGCACGTGGAAATTCGCAACTCCGGTTGGGCATGCAGGTAGGTGAAAGGCGACATCGTACTGGTTGCACCTCTAGGTAGGTGATTAGTTGTGCTTAATATTTACTTGTGCGTGATTCAGTTTTCTTTTCCAAATCCATTGTTTCCAAAAATGTTATAATATCAATTAAAATGGAAACACTAACAAAAAAAAATGGAAGTACTTTTACAAAAAAAAAACAAAAACAGTGGAAGTTGATAAAACAGTACTAGCAAAACAGAGAAGAAACATAGGGCGTGAGTTACAAAATGAAGAAGTTGAGTACTAGTCCGGTTAGGGTTAATTGTAATAAATAATGACCAATTGATAAATGATAATGGAAAATATTTGGCTACAAAAAAAGGAATTCAAAAATATTTGGCTACAAATTTAATAAGGAAAATATGAAGTTGTCTTCCAAAAATTGGTTCCGGTATGTAAGGAGATTTTTTTTAGTCCTTTTCTTTTTTGTAAATATCACAAATTTGGTTTAGTTTTTGCTTCGGTTATTATATTTTGTTTTGAATAAGGTTAATTAATTTATCCAGAGTAAACAACCCTCTACCAAAACCACATGTTATGAAAAAGAAGAAAAAATGTTTATCATGTATATATCAAGTATGTTTTCCAAAGAAAAAGATAGACGATAGTATAATTAAAATGTACAAAAGAATATATGTAATATATGATGAGCAGATATAACCCTTTTGTGTGATCCATCTTCAAGCCAGTGTAACAAATGGATAAAATAGAATTGGTCCTAGTGTTACTCTGTTTCTCCATTATATGTTTCTGATGCTAGGGTCCTTTTTGAGTTTCTTATGTTTCCGTGTCTGCTTGATGTTACTGTTTTCTTCATCGTTATCGTTGTGGTTTTCCACTCCACTTGGCGACTGAGGTCGAACCTTTCGATGAACTTCTTCATCCTGAGAGTAAAAAAGGTTACAAAAGATCAAAATTCATCTGTCTCATCATATCTTTGGTAGTAATAAAATAAGTACTAGTAAATAATTGATAGAAAAGTTGGTATACTTTTCTTTCAAATTATAAAATAATTAGTTATGTTATTGAACAGACATACTATTTATTTTGCTCTTCTTTTGTTATTTTTTGTATTGTATACTTAACTTTTTCGAAACAGTTATAGAAACTAAAATTATAAGCAATGGAACTATGGAAGCATACCTCTTGAGGTTGTTTAGAGAGCTTGATTTGGACAGAGATCCTTGATCTGGACAAGTCCACTCCTGATGCTTGGAGTGTTTCTGATAATGTTTTTAATAGCCTATATTCCAAGTAAAAACAAAAATTTATACCATTTCTATTTAGTCTTGTAACTTTTATTAGGGTTGAAATAAAACTCACCCTTGAGAGTAAACACTTGATATACTGATTGTACCCTTATGAATAGAAAGATCCTCTACCTCCTCTTCTCTCAAATTTTCACACTCCATTGCAGCAGCATCAGATGATGACACTGGACAAAGCTGTGACAATTCTGGAGAGAAAAAACTATTCCTTAGACCTAACACAGGAAAAGAAGTTGTATCCATTGTTCTGTTCAGACACTGTTGATGATCCATGGTGACGGCTTGGGCTTCTGCGAGGACTGGAACAGTTCCTTCAGGTGGCTGTGTGATAGTCTCTCTATCAGATTAGTTTTAACAAATTATAAAAAAAATTAGAAGAAAGCTTAATTACCTCGTGTTTGTCTACTTTCTCTTGTAAGAAGTGAATGTACTCAATAACCTGTATTAATGTATATATGTTTAAAAGTAAGTTTAAGATCATTAGATAAACACATCACTATATATTACTTCTATTGCAAGAAAAACATTTTAGAAGACATTACTCATACCTCTAGTAAGAATGATGCCTTGTCCCGCTTTTGGTCGCTGTTAGGGATCAATTGTCTCAACGTTTGAAATCTGTTTCATATTAACTTGGATCAACTCTCACTATCTTTGTAATCTACCAAATTAAAGTGCCTATTCTTATTTGTAAAGTCACCTATCATTGATCTTGCTCCTCCTCCGTTGCTCTGTTGCAGAATGTTTTGACCTAGGAGTGTTCGGCTTTTGTTCGTTACCATTACCTTTCCTATCTACTTTGACTCTCAAATCTACTGTAGGTAAAAAAACACAAGTGATACACATCTTGTTAATTATATGGTTTAAGAAAATGTAAGCTAATATTTGAAAATTCGCGGTAATTAAGTATTTTTAAGAGATTAGTGTCTAATTGGAGGATTAGACCATCTCCAATGGAGGATCCATGGAAGTTCTATGTGCTGGTTTTAAATAATTATGTGCTGAAAATTAAATAAAAAAGACACAAATTAGATAGATATGTTTCTAAAATTAGAATTTTTGGAATCATTTCTAAATAATAGGTGTCACTTTGTGATAGGTAATATTTTAAAGAAAAAAAGAATTAAATATTCAAATTTTTGAAATTTAGAATTTTTAATTGGTTCTACTATTGGAAGGATTAAAACTAAACAAATATCTAAATTTTTTAATTTGATTATTTTCAATTAAAATTTTGATTTAGAACTCTAACACCATATCTATTGTTAGAGATGGTCTCAGGGAACATCTAAACCGGTTTATTTAAAAATCATTTTGAAAACGTTCGATTTATGACCGATTTGCTATTCTTAGGCTCGATTTTTAGAACATTGAATCTAATAAAATCTCCTGGTGAGTTACAAACCTCTCTGGCACTGGCTAGTGGATGTGTTGTTCCCTTTACTTGTAACGAACTCTTCATCTTCATCATCCAAATCCTCCTCCTGCGAACTTCCTTTGGCAGACTTTATCATGTCCATGAAACTCTGGCTCTGCCTCTTCCTTATACGCTCTTTCTTATCTACCGATTCATTCCACAAAGTGAATCCATTCTTTGCAGAAACCGAGGTATCCTCCACTGCATGTCTCTCGTTACAGCTAGCTTGGGACCCCTTGAACATCGGAGAGGCCTCTGGTTTAGGAACTCCCTGATGATGATTATAATACATGTAAGGCATATGACTGATCGTGTAAGTCCCTATGCCACCGGGAAGCACGTGCTGGTTCTGAACGTACGCCGATGATGCGGCCGTAGTGTGGACACTGCCTCTGGTATTTACATCCTTCGCACAAGCTCTTGTTCCAACACGTTCTAATGGTTGTAGAAAATCATGAATTTTCGGATACCCACCTGCTTATTACATACACATCATCGTAGGTTAGTACTTTTTTTTTTTAATAATACATTTCAACGTTTTATAGTGTCTAGTACCATCGTTGTCTCAAACGCAATTGTGTTGAGTTATGTATATCTTTTACATGAAACACAAAACATGATTAGTTTTAATAGAAAATTGTGCAACATATATACGTAAACGCTAAATGGATATACATAAGCCCTTAGGATTTATTTACGAGCGCAGCTAAAACACACTGCACAACACTGTAAATGCAAAAATAAAATGTGGAACCATCTACATATATAAAGCTCATGTAGTACTATACTGTACTTGCATGTCCGTACATTAGTCTCATTTTTTTATTTTTTATTTTATTTTTTTACATTAGTCTCACTAAGAACAAACGCTGACAAACTTCTTTAATATTTTTCGTTGTTTCTATGCTTAATTCTTTAATCAATAAGATGAAAACTGGTGAGTACGAAATTTGTAAAAAGGTCCAAACTTATCACATGGCATACACCCCACCTTCTATAACTAACATTATCACACACAAGCACTCCAGATCTGGGCTCTAATTTATATATCACGTGACGCAGCATTATCTAGATGTTTGTTGTAAAGCTAGACTTTTACATGAAATTGGTACTTATAGAGTTATGTGTACTTTTTACAGAACATAATGTGTGTTTTCAGACCAGATCTTCTGACACTAAACAAAATAAAAAACAAACAAAAGTGATTTATAGATCTCATGTATTTAGCAAAAAAAAAAAAAAAACTCATGTAACAAAATTAGATCTGACGAGTCATCGTCATAATTAACGACGAGATATTTATGACGACGGATATAAAAATGGACACTTCTTTTTTGGATTATATAAGGGGTTTAGCCCATTTTTCCAGCTGCTTATTATTAGTATTTTTTATTTTTTTGTATAAAATAAAACAAAATTGGTGATATAATACCTTGGGATGAAGGCATCGGATCTGAATGGACGTTTGAATTATTGCAGGCTGATAAAAACTCTTGCGTTGGTTTTTTTCTCCCTGTATAGAAAATTCTTCTAATAATCAAAAACTAAAACCAAAAAAGATAGTTCTCTTTTATTATTATCTTTTTTTCTTTAGTAACTTGTGAAAAGAAAAACAAGAGAATCAAATAACTAAAAGAAGAAGAATCTGAAAATGTGGCGCATCTACAATTATTACCT